TCCTGGATTCCCTTTATTCTCAGTTCCTATCTGTACCAGTGTACTTCCTCTGGTCTAGCCATTTTCAAAGCATTTTCTTTCTACTTCAGCCCTTGATGTCAGCTCCTCATTTCTCCCCCTTTCTCTCCCTCTCTCTCTCCCTCCTTCATGAACCTTTGGTAAATTATAGAATATTATTTTCATATCTTAGAGTGTCCTCTGTCACCCTTCACCCACTTTTCTGTTGCTCGTCCCCCTGGGAGGGGATAATAGTTGATCCTTGTGATTGATTCTCCCCTTTTCCCCGCACCTTCCCCTTATCTTCCTGGTATTTCTATTCTCATTGTTGGGGTCAGGTATCTGCTTTCTTTTTGATTAAGGCTTTTCTGTTTTCTCATCATTGTTGAATTTTTTTGTTTGTTTACTTGCTGTTTGTATTTTTGCATGCTTTTGTGTATATGAAATCCAAGATATGTAAATATATAGACAGTAACTGGATTAATAACTACCTAGGAGCATGGCAGGGAGGTTGGAATGAAATGGAGAGCTAACAATGAGGAGAATGTGAAGAATATGTTCTGAAGTTGATTTTGATGATGACTGCACAACTCATCTTAACATGAACAAATAATTACATTGTATGTTATGTGAAGTACATGCAAATAAAACTGAAAAACCAACCAATTCACAGTGAAAAAAATTAAAAACAAGAACAAATAATCAGAGTGTAGAAAAGAAACAGAGAAGAAACAGAAAGATAATTTCACATCCGGAAAGGACCAAGAAGAAAGACTCATATAAATGGGAGTTTTTAGTCTAATGATAAACAAGTGAAGCATTTCATACTTACAGGAATACCTAAGTTATTCCTCTCAGAACACTGATGGGAAGATTGTTTCAAGTAATGTGGAGTAGTATACGCACTATTAAGATCAGAATTTCATACATATAAAAGTTATGAGATCTTCTGAGAAGACCATTATAGTTTAAAGAGATATTTTCCCTTATACTAGGACTAAGACAATAGAAAACTATAGAAGTATAGAAAACTCCAGAGGGCAACTACCTCCTCTTTGAATCATTATAAGTTATTTCCAAAATATCAGAGAGAAGTGATCATGTGTAGTTTATAAGCATGATTATTAATTCTAACTAGGTTATAGAACATTTCCTATTTATGCAAGATAATTACTGAAACGCAAACACAAAAATATTTTAAAACCTGAGCTATAAAATACAGATAGTGAAATTACATAATAAGCAATATATTATGTGACTGATAAAATAAGTTGTCATTATTTATATTTTTGGTGTGAAATCCAGCAAGCTGCTTGACTTTTATCTTTCTTAGTCATAGAGATAGAACTCCTTAGGAAAGAACTAGGGGGCAAAGGACATTTATAGAGGTCTAAATACATGCATGTACATATGTAAATATATTTATATTTATATATAACAATAGGGGAAAAGATCTATGTAAATGTATTTATATATTAATTAGTAAGGTAGCAGACAGACTTTGGGCCTCTACTCAAGTAATCCCCTCAATAAAAGAACACTTTGTTCTAAGACCCCAGCATTCCATGATGCTCATCTTCCCAACAAGATCACTAAAGACAAAATGGGTGGGTAAGCAAATGTGGTGAAGAAGGCTGATGGCACCCGGCTATCTAAAGATAGAGTGTCTGTGGTCTTAAGGGCTTGAAGATACACAAGTGTCCACCTAGCTGAAAGCAACAAAGCGAACATGGAAGAAGCACACCAGCCTGTGTGATCATGAGGTGTCAACAGGATCAGGTTCCAGGCATCAAAGATACAGAACAAACAAATCATATTAATGGGAATGAGGGGGAATGAAGATTGGAGACCAAAGCCAATTGGACATCCCCTCACAGAAGGGTCACAAAGAAGAGACAAGTCAGTCAGGGTGCGGTATAGAACTGATGAAACATACAACTTTCCCCTTGTTCTTTAATGCTCCCTAACCCCCACTATTAAATCCAGCTACACCAGAACATGTACACTGGTACAGATAAGAGCTTGCAACACAGGGAATCCAGGACAGATAAACGCCTCAGGGCCAATAATGGGAGTAGCAAAACCAGGAGTATAGGAGGAAAGTGGGGGAGGGAAGAGGGAACCAATCACAATGATCAACATATAACCCTGTCCCCGAGGGGGATGAACAACAGAAAAGTGAGTTAAGGGAAACAGAAGTGGATATAAGACATAAAAAAATAATAATTTATAAATGATCAAGGGTTCATGAGAGAGGAAGGGTGGGGGAGGGAGGGAAAAAAATGAGGAGCTGATACCAAGGGCTCAAGTAGAAAGAAAATGGTTTGAAACTGATGATGGCAACATATATGTACAAACATACTTGACACAATCGATGTATATATGGATTGTGATAAGAGCTATAAAAGCCCCAAATAAAATCATTTTAAGAAAAGAAGAAATAGAATTCATTTCTTCATGAATCAGAAGAGAATTTCTGGCAACTTTGTCTTTTCATTTTTCTTCACACACATAAAAAAAAATTTCCATGCTTTTCCTATATAGTTTCTAAGGTAAAATATTATTATTTTTAATCCCTGTTCTTTATTTTTAAACCATTTTATTAACATATTTCATGTACAATACAATTCAATGATTTAAATATATTAAGAGGTGTGTAATCATTACCACAATACCTTTAGATCATTTTCTTCATTCTTTCTCTATTATTTGCTTCCCATTCTCCTCCCAACCTCCCTTGTGATATCTCCAAGGATCTATTAATCTAGTTGATGATTCTTTATTTTTACCTATTAAGGTACCATATTTTTATCCTAAAAACTCATGAGATGGAAAAAGGGGGACTCATTTTATTCATCACTAAGCTAAAGTGAGTTTATAGGGTTTATAACGCATCTCAGCATGTCAGGAGAGACCAGTCCCTTGAGAAGGACATCATGCTTGATAAAGTATAGGGGCAACAAAAATGATAAAGGCTCTCACCAAGATGGATTGACACAGTAGCTGTAACAATGGGCTCTAATATAAGAGCAACGGTAAGGATGGTGAAGAACTGGGTGGTGTTTCATTCTTGCCATACAGAGGGTCACTATGAGTCAGACCAACTTATTGGCACATAACAATGACAACAAAACATAATCACCCAAGCTCACGTTCATCTAGTCAAATCAGATTCATAGTGACCCTGTATAGGATTTCTGGGCCTATAAACTTTGAAAGGAACAGATAGGTTTATGTTTCTCCCAGAGAGCAGCTGGTGAGTTTAAGCTGCTGGCCTTTCAGTTTAGTAGTGTAATGCTTACCCAACAGTACATATGTACTTCATGTGTAACAATAGGAGAAGTAATTTCAAACAAAAGCCTTTTGGGAATCATCTTGTCATATTTTTTCTCACAAATACCATACTCATGGAAATAATGCAATTGCATAAAGCACAGCATAGCATCCTTATGAAAATAGTGTGCAAATTTGTGTTACTAGCAAAAACTTCCACACAGACATTATTTGTATAAAAATACGGTAGGTTTTACAAATGCTCTAATTTGTGATAACCTTAGAATGTGAAAATTACCGTACTATGATTTATGAATCTGAGGAAAATTTTGTTTCAATCTTCATGATTATCTTAAAGGATTGACAATATTTTCCCATCTTAAAAAATGTTATGTTTAACATTTCATCAAATGTCATTATATTCATGCATCACAATATATCATTAATGGCATTTGAACACCCTAAAATGATCATAGATGAACAGAAGGAAGCTTTGAGTAGAGCAAACAGTAAATGTGTATGACTGCTCATACTAAAATTGGAGGTATAATTCTGTCCAGAGTTGCTTCCAAAGGAAACCCTGGCAATCTATTTCTAAAAATTCAGCTACTGAAAACCTACTGAACAAAGTTCTATTTTGAGACACAGTGGGCCACTGAGAGTCATGGTGGAATTAATGACAACTGGTTAAAAAGTAAAGGAAAAAGGGAACAATTGTTGGAGTGCTATCAAGGCACAAGCATCACTCTTATTCTACACCAGTCTCTGGGAAATCTTCTGAAATAAGAACTTTCCTGGAGCATGGCCTAATGTACATAGGATCTTGACATAATATTCCAAGATTAAATTGTTTGGAGTAGTAAATTATGTTTCAATGATTTCAAACAGTAAAGATATTAATAGTTTTTAAAATTGAAAGTGTTAAAAACCCAGAATTACTAAAGAACCATATTGAAAATAGCAAATGACATTTAGATCTAATAAATATTAATATACTTTGTTCTTTTGGTTCAAAATTTTGATGCAAACAAATACCATATTGAACTGAGGTCTTAAACAGCGTTAAAACTTAAAAGAGTACTTAAGATTAATCGTATACAATTTTAATGTCTTTCAAAGTATGAACTCTTTTGAAAAATATCTTTTTATTTTCAATTGTGGAAAAATTATTAAATAATAACATTACTTAGAACAAAATAACATATTTAAAAATTGTTATTTTCACAACTGTGTGATTTGTTATTAAATTTAATGCTTTATCCTGTAACATCAAAATAATCCCTCTTAAATCCATTTGTATTTTAAAAAATATCTATAATTTTCTGCTGAGATGACTAAATCACAACATATGTCATTGGAATTTACCTTGAATAATAAATTGTTCCATGTTATCTTTGAAAGGCTGAACATGTTCTTTTGAGGATGCCTGGTACACTTTCCCTGCTTCAACCTCACAGACTAAAATTAGAAAGAGATAGACATTTTAGACAATGACATTCTTGTTATCACAAAACAAATATTAAAACATACCAGCTAATATTAGAAAACCCTGTTGATCACGCAGGCATATGCTATGCAAATATTTTAGAAATATCCGAATACAGAATTAAGAATCTCAAAAACAAAACTTTATTTGAAGGAAACCCAAAAGTAATTTCACAAGAATCTCTTTCCCCAGGCCTACCAACTGCAAGCTGTGGAAGATCTTACTTACTCCCAGAACTGCAGTCTCTTCATGTCCAGAACGGAGATGATAGTACAGAGTAACAGAGCTACAAGGGCCAAATCAGTTACTAGATGTAAAATGTTACAAGAGTGCTGGCACTTAGTGAGTGTTATGTATTTCCTGTTATCAGTATCATTATCATCAAATGAACTCTAATATAAATTTGTCCCCAACTAATGTGCAAATTTATAAAGGGTAATGATAGGGTGGTAATGCTGGTATATATATTTTAAAAATTATTCTAAAAAAAAAAAGTTATTCTAAACCATTGTCATCTGGTCGATTCTGACGCACATAGGCCCCATGTTTATCTGAGTAGAATTGTGTTTCATCAGGTTTCCAACGGCTGTTTTATTTGAGTATATTGTCAGGCCTCTCTTCTGGGGTGCTTCTGTGTGGATCTGAATGTCCAACATTAGGTTTAGCAGACCCACTAACTATGTGCACCACCCAAGGACTTAATTATTTATTATATGCCACATACTTTTTAATCTATTACTTAACTTTATATTTAGAATAGGCAGTAAATGAGACATTATTACCTTATTTTACAATTGAGGAAACCAAAACTCAAGATACTAATGTGCTCAAACATCTATAGATAATAAGTAGCAGATCCAAAATTAAAACTCTCATCTCAGACTTTAAATTTTATACTCTTTCCACAATAACATGTGCCATCATCTATGTATGTTGTAGTTGTAAACAGATCAAATAAAGGGCTTCTTAAGAAATATGTTTAGGACATTTCTACCATTATGGTGACATAGAAATCAGGGCCCCAAAGGAAATAATTCAAAATTTAAAAAGAACAGGCTTTAAAGACAAAATTTAAGACAGATTCACATCTGATCCTGGAAATATGCTGTCACTATAATTCATAAGATAAGGCTGCCAGTTCTTCAAGAAGACGCTGTACTTTAAAGATATTTTCTCTCTTTTCTAAAACATTCTTCCCTTTTTATTGGTTTGTCTAAGCTGGGGAATATGTGGCGCCTAAATTGTTAGCACATCATCCATCTGTCAGGTGTCTTATGAGGAAGGTTTGCTTGCAGGCTGCTATATCTGCTATAGGCTATGACACAAGCATTTCAAATCCCAGCAGGATCACTCGTGTAAGACAGACTTCAGCAGAACTTCTAGACTGAGACAGCTTAAGACTAAGGCAGATTTGAAGAACATGACAATCTATTTCTAATAATTAGTCCATGAAACCTCTATTTTTCACATACAAGTATTTCCAGATATAATGCTGGAAGTCATACAAAATATACAATGGCAATAAGGATTAGCGTGACAACAGGACAGACATAAGTTCAGACTTGCAGGGCATCCAGTCTTCTGTTCAGTAAAATTTAAAGTCCGTTTATATACATCTAGAAATTAAAAAAATAGCTACCTAGACAATGAACTAGAATCCTATTCCAAAGAAAAGTATCCAAAAGAACACAAAAATAATCAAACAATATAATCAATATCACATGCAATAAAATATTATTGAAGATTACTACAAAAAAAACAAAAAACATTGTTACAGTAGTACACCGACAGTACGTTGAAGTGCCAGAAATCAGATCAGATTCAGAATATTGGAATGAGGGATGTCATTGCTGATATCAACTGGATATTGGATGAAAGCAGAGAATAGAAGGAAGATGTTTACTTAGTTAGTTTTATTAAATATATAAAGAAATTTGGCTGTCTGGCACATTACAAACTATGGATAACATTTCATAAAGGGAGAATTCCAGAATACTTGTGCATAGACTAACAAGCAGTCATTCAAAGAGAACAAAGGGATATAACTCATTTAAGATCAGCAATGATGTGCATCAAGGTTGTATCCTTTCACCATAGTTATTTAATCTGTGTGTTGAATACAAAATCCAAGAGGCTAGACTATTTGAAGAACATGGCATCAGGACTGAAGAAAGACACCCTAGCAACTTGTGATATGCAAAGAACACAAACCTTACAAAGACGACTTGATGCATGTATTGATGAAGATAAAAGATTAGTCTTCAACATGGATTACACTTCAACATATAGAAAATACCATTCCTCACAACTAAACCAAAGAGCAAAATTTTATTTGAACCCACAGTCAATGCCCATAGAAGCAGCTGTAGGAAAATTCAATGACATCCATATTGAATTGGCAAATAAAACTGCTGCAAAGGAAACAAACAATCAAACAAACATGCGTAAGTGGGTAGGAGCGCACTAATCCATCCAAGGGGAGGGCACTGTTTATATCTCCACAGGAGAGGGAGAGAGAAACCAGGCTTCAACCTGATGCACCAAGACATGAATACAACATACCAGCATGTACCAGGGAACCAATAGAGAGCTCTGCAGGGCTGGCTCCAATCCCTACTATGTGGACACTCTACCCCAGAAGAATGCACTTCAGAGAATAACACTGGGGCTACAGTTTGGGGAGAGGGGCACGTCTGATTAGAACACATGGGAGAAACAAAAAGGGATGGAGAGGGGGTGGGGAGGACATCCTGGGCCACCAAGCCCCAAGGATGATATTCCTGCTCAGAGCAGACGATGAGCAGAGAGGACAATAGGGCCAGACCCATCACAAGAAACAACGTCCCTCACTGAACCATAGCACTGCAGCGGACAACACTGGAGACAGTGCAGGGATTGTGCACAATCTGACCCCATCACTCTGGGATGAAGCACTAAGGGCATGCAACAAAGCAGCAAGGGGAGCAAAGTGATGGAATCCCTGGGGAATACCAAAAACACACTTTGGAGACAGAGTGTGGTACCCCATTAGACTCGACCGGAAAACACTCTTAAAGGCCAAAAAAAACAGACCTTGAGCTATTTATAGGCTTTTCCATTTTTGTCAGTGGCTTTCTTTTTGTTGTTGATTTTGTTGTTGCTATTGTTTTGTTGGTCTTGATTTCCTTTGTTGTTTTGTTTGGGTTTGCCTGGTTTTTACACTTATTAATGTATCTGCATGACTATCTAAGTAAGATAAATGGGATAAATAATTTGGAGATGAAAAGAATGGGAATAATGGTTTCCAGGGGATATGGGAGAAGGGGTGGTAGGAGAAATGAAGGGGTGGGGGTAGAAACCAACCCAGGGACAAGGCAACAACCAGTGAACAAAATCAATGGAGAGAAGGGTGTAGGATGCCTAGTGGGGCTTAATGAAGGGCAATGTAGCAGCAAGGAATTACTAAACCTGAATGAAGGCCAAGCATGATGGTGGGACAAGAGAAAAGTAAAAGGAGATAGAGGAAGAAATAGGAGGCAAAGGACATTTATAGAGATCTAAATACAGGCATGCACATATGTAAATATATATGTACTCATATCTATATGTTAAGAACTAAAGTTGCAGATGGACATTAGGCCTCGACTCAAGTACTCCTCAACACAAGAACACTTTGTTCTAATAATCCAGCATTCTGTGATGCTCACCTTCCCAACATGATTGCTTAAGACAAAATGGTTGCATAAGTAAGTGTGGTGAAGAAAGTTGATGGTGCCCAGCTATCCAAAGACATAGTATCTGGTATCTTAAAGGCTTGAAGATAAACAAGTGGCCATCTAGCTGAAATGCAACAAAGCCCACATGGAAAAAGCACACCAGCCTGTGTGATCATGAGGTATCAATGGGATCAGGTATCAGACATCTAAGCCCCAGAACAAAATCATATCCAATGTGAATGGTGGGAGAAGTAGGGGCATGGAGTGGAGACCCAAAGCTCATCTGTAGACAATTGGACAACCCTGCTCAGAGGGGTCACAGGGAAGAGATGAGCCAGTTAGGGTTCAGTAGAACACTGATGAAACACACAACTTTCCTCTAGTTCTTTGGTGCTTCCTTCCCCCCACTATCATGACCTCAATTCTACCTTACAAATCAGATTAGAGCAGAACATGAACACTGCTACAGATAAGAGCCTGCAACACAGGGAATTCAGGACAGATAAACCCCTCAGGGCCAATAATGAGAGTAGAGATACCAGGAGGATTAGGGGTGTGGGGGTATGGGGGGGAGAAAGGGGGAATCAATTACAAGGATCAATCTATAATCCCCTCCCAGGGGGATGAACAATGGAAAAGTGAGTGAGGGGAAATGGAGAATGATGTAAATATGGAAATAATAATCTATAACTTCCATATTTACATCATTCTCCATTTCCCCTCAGGGGCAGGAAAGGAGGAAGGGGAAGAAATGCAGAGCTGATATCAGGGTCTCAAGTGGGAAGAGAATGCTTTGAAAATGATGATGGTAGCATATGTGTAAACGTGCTTGATACAATGGATGATGTATGGATTGTGATAAGAGATGTAAGAGCTCCCAATCGAAGTATTAAAAAAAAAAAAAACCAACCTGCTGTAAAAGTTATCTTTAAAGTGTCAGAAACAAAGGCAACAAAAATATGTATGAAGCAAGCCATGGTATTTTTAATCTTTTCACATTCATGTGAAAGCTTGACAAGAACAAAGTAAGTTCACATAACCGACCCTTTAAACAATTAGTTTTTATGACATGGTTTTGCTTGATGCTCACCCTCATGAAGAGATCACTGAGTAAATGAGTGCATTAAGTTGTAGCTGAGGAACTAGATGCTGCTTGGCTATTAGAAATAACAGCATCTGGGTCTTAAAGATTTTTCTTCAAACAAGCACCCATTTAATGGAGCATCAACTAAATTAATGTTGTAAAAGCACACCAACTTGTGTGTTCCAAGGATTGT